GGAGTGCTAACCTTCTCTCCTTTCATACAACACAATAAGTAAATATTAATGTGTAATATTTTCTGTGTCTCAAGCATGGATCTGTCGGCCTTCAGCTGACTTAGTCTGCCTCAGCGGTGACTAACCCACATAAGTAGCATGCAGCTAAGAGTGTCTCGAGGAATGGAAAAGCTGGGTGGCAAGGGGCATGGCACAGGTATTGTCTGACTTGGATGGCAGAAATCTGGCTCTGGGAAGGCCAAGAGTTCAGGGTGCCTGCTGAAAGGGCTTGAGGGACATGGTTTCCTCCACCCCATATATGTGGCCTGATCAGAAAACACAGTGCCTGTTTAATGTTAAAAAATTATTACAGCAAAAGATATTGCTGCTGATCCCTTTCAGAATATAACCACTTACTTTGAACACCCTTATTGCGTTCTTTTTACCAATTGCTGAAAAGGTTTTCATACTCCTCTTTCATGAATGCATTTGATTGCACTGTTATGGCTGCCTTGTCCCGAGGTGGATTCAGAAGGGCACCTTTTGTGCTCATGTTGCTTTGGGGAAGAGCTGGAAGTCCCCGCTGCCAGTTCCCATGAGGAAGATGGAGCGGGCCACGTGCCGAGGTCTTTCTGAGCCAGCCTGTCTGTGAAGTGGCAGGGCAAGGCTGTCACTATTTCTTTTTTGTCATTACATCTTTTAAAGACACCCATGGAGGAAGACCTCTAGAACTTCTTTAAAAAGTGCTGTGATGAGTGTGTTTCAAGGGGGCCAGGGATATAGCTCAGTGGCATAGCACCTGCCTGGCTAGGGCAAGGTCATGAGTTCAATTCCCAGTACAAAAAAAAAAAGTGAGCTTGAAAGTAGAAGGAATATTTACAGGAGGATTAAGCAATTTTCAGGAGGCCGTGTGTGTGTGACTGTAATACATTTTGAATTAAGCATTCACCTTATATTTTGATCCACCACCCATAGTGCCCTGTGTCTTGCAGGGAGCGGAGTGCACCACACATGGCCAAGTCTGCAGAAGCTTTTTTTCTTTTTCTTTCTTT